TATTTTTTTTAGAATTTTTTTTCTTTAAAGTTATGTTTAATATATATTTTTTTGTTTTTTGGAGGGTGGGGTATTGGGGATTGAACTCAGGAGCACTCAATCACTGAGCCACATCCCCAGCCCTATTTTTCATTTTATTTAGAGACTGGGTCTCACTGAATTGTTTAGAACCTTGCTGTTGCTCAGGCTGCCTTTGAACTTGCAATCTTCCTGCCTCGGCGCGCGCACGCGCGCACACATACACACACACACACACACACACACACACTCGAGTCACTGGGATTTCAGGTGTGCACCACAATGCCCAGCTTGGTCAGTTTATTTTTTAAAGAAAAATTTCATACCACAAGTGCAAAACTAGTAGAGGTTATAATTCATAGTAGGTAAACATCAAAATAAATACAATGTAAGCAAGATTGTTTTTAGACTCTAATTCTGAGTCTGAAACCCACGCTTTCATTTGTTAAAAAAAAAAAAAAAGAAAGAAACTAGCTAGTGTTAGAACATTAGGACCAAATAAAACATTGTCCTTGAAGTGTGTTCAGAAGAATCTAAAGAAATGACTAAGAAAATAACTTTTGCACTAAATGAGTTATTGCTAGGATAGTGCATCACAGAAAATTATCCCCTGCATCGCACAGATTTGTCCTAATGGACCTCTTGAACATGGCTTGTAATTCTGTACCCATATTTTGGAAACTACCTGATTTGTCCAAGATACCATAATATTATTATGTTTTCCAGAACTAAGTATTAAACCCATGGCCTCTTGTATGTGAGGAAACTGCTCTAATATTGAGCTATATTTCCAGCCTTTTATTATATTTTATTATTTTTTATTTTATTTTGAAATGGTCTTGCTAAGTTGCCCAGGCTGGCCCTTGAATTTGTGATCCTCCTCCTTCAGCCTCTGGAAGACCTGAGAATACAGTATCTGGCTTGCCCAAGATTTCCGATTATGTAAAAGGCAAAGCCATCATCTGCCAAGTTTCAAAGTCTCCACAACTCATCTCGTTTGGAAACTTTGTTCTGGATCTGCTGTGTTTGCCTTCCCTCACAATGTTTTATTCTGGTGCATCCGTGGGCTCTAGTGATGTTATGACCCTCACTGTTCTTCCTGAAAAGGTGCCACCATTTGTATCTTACACTCAGAGAAAACAGACTCTTGGGAGGGCATGGGGGACTGTGTTTCTGGTGATGTGACACTGTTCTTCTCAGATACAGTCTCAGAAATCATTACCTATTTAAGCAGCTGACCCCCTTGCTGACTCTTGTTGAACTTGTGGCCTATTTCATGTCCTCCACCCAGATTTGATAATAACGTGTTCGAGATTAGTGTGCAACGTGTCATAGAAGTGAGTCATCTGACTTCAGACTGTATTAAGGCAAACAAAGGAGGGCACTGGGTGATAAAGCCATCATGATTCTCTGGCCTCTGACAGGGCTGATCCCCATGGCAGAGTGGCTGGCTTCTTAATTTCCTTGTGGATGGTGAGTTTGTTGAAGGCAAGACTATTGAATTATCTTTATATTCCTGTTGTCTATCAAGTGCCCGGTACATAAGTGTCTCTAGTACACATTTGTTGAATGATGGAATTTGCTTGAGTTAAAAATCACAGTAAATTTTTTTTTTTTTTTGGTCCTGGGCATTGAACCCAGGGGCATGTAACTACTGAGCCATACCCCTAACCTCTTATTATTTTTTAAATTTGGGGCAGGGTCTTGATAAAGTGCTCAGGGCCTCACTAAATTGCTGAGGCTGGTATCAAACTTGCAATCCTCCTGCCAAAGCCTGGAGTCACAGGGATTACAGGTGTGTGCCACCATGCCCAGCAAATCACAGTAAAATTTAAATGGTGCTTAAATTCAATAAAATGGGCATTTCCTCCCCTTACCACCATCTATTCCTCTTTATTTGGTAACAGAGTTATAACTTTTTTTTTTTAAATGAGAACCATTTATTTTATGTTATCAATCTTCCCCATCCCTCTGCACCTTCCAGGAGTAGTCATATGGCCCAAGACTGACTAATCAGAGTCATTATGATATTTTTAGGGACAGGCACATAACTCAATTCACATTATTGAGAGTCAAGCCCTAAGGATCAATAGCTTGTTGCTAGTTTGGTAGAATATAAGCTTAAAGACATTGTTGGTCATCTTGTCCCCTCATAAGCAGAGATTGTGTGATAAAGAAGTTACTGTTAAAAATAATGAAATCCAGAAACGAATACATATGCTAGACCACATAAAGGAAGCTGTGTCTGAAGTCCCTACTTATAAATTTTTAGTTACGGGAGACATTCAAAGTTCCATTTTCCAATTCCTGACTCACAAATGCTAATCTAAAATGAAACATATACTGTTCTTAGTAAAAATGGAAAAAATTTGATTTATGAGATTTTTTAATATTAAGATGTAATTTTCCTAATTTTTGGCATTCAAGTTATTTATGAATCAATGGTGATATTAGGTAGAAACTGTATTTTTTCTAATTGTCCTTAATAAAAATTTGAAAACTAGCTCCCAAAAGACAGTGGATCCTTTATCCCTCCATTTAAAAAAAAATTATATTGGTTTATAAAATAAAAGTCTTCTATAAACTACATGTGTGTAAACATTTGGGTATTTTTTAAAAAAGAATAAAATTGTGGTCATTTATTTGGCTTATTCATACTTCATCTGATTCCAGAACAGATTTAAGGAAACTCATTAACTCCTTTGATCTGATGCTCAGCATGGAGGCTCCTTTCCAAAGACCTCACTGGGCACAACCTAAAAGGAAGTCAAAGAGGCCTTTTGTCCCTCTGCCTGTGGGGTGAATATCGATCCAAGGAATGATTTTATTTGCCACCTCCCCAGGACTGTGCAATAGGAGTCATCAGAGACAAGCAACGCCCCTGAAACTTTTCCTGGGCTGCTGCCTAACTACAGGGCCATGGCTGTAAGCCCCCGCAGGTGCCCCCAGTCAGAGGGGCAAGGGTGAAAGGGTGCAGGGTGTCTGTGACATCTGAAGAAAATAAAGGTAGGAGAAAGGAAGACCCCTGAGGGGAGAGATCCTGGGGAGGAGTGGGAGAGAAGGTGAACTGCTACGTAGATGGAGTCTTTTTAAATGGTGAATGAAATTTAAGTTTTAGGAGAAGGGAAGGTACTGATGTTTGCTTAGGCATCTGCCCCGGGGAATGTTTACTCGTGGTTTAACAGCCAGAATGAAGTTAGTGTTGAAGTAGAAATAAAGCCATAGTCCAGGAAGGAGGTGGGCATGAGGGGGCGGGAGCAGGGTGTGTGTCAGGAATATGTGTGCTAGACAAATCGTGGTGAAGATGTCTCTCTGGACACAACAGCTTTGACTTATCCAGTTCTGATAGCAGATTTGTTTGGAGCCATGCTGTCCCACTTTCTAGATCCTGGGTTTTGAGATGATTGGTCCAAGTTAGGGTGTCTTCTGTTGCCATGGAAAAAGTGAGTCTTACTAGTTCACTTATGACTAGACTTAGTGTGGTTTGGATGCTACGCTGTTGGACCTATGTTGAGTGAGACTTTTAGCATGTTGAGATCATAAGTCAGGAAACTAAGCATACACACACACACACACACACACACACACACTCTTCCCTGCTACAGGGTTCTTGGGTTTGCTACTTCTACTTGGTGCTTTTTTTTTTTTTGCGGGGGGCGGGGGGAGGGAGGATTGTACCAGGGATTGAATTCAAGGCAATCACTGAGCCACATCACTACCCTATTTTGTGTTTCATTGAGAGTCAAGCCCCAAGGATCAATAGCTTGTTGCTAGTTTGATAGAACTCTGAGTTGCTTGGCACCTCATTGTTGCTGAGGCTGGCTTTGAACTTGTGATCCTCCTGCCTCAGCCTCCTGAGCCTCTGGGATTATAGGCATATGCCATTGTGCCCAGCCTGCCTGAAACTTTTATCGTATTCTTTATGAGTCTTCTTTCTTGCCCTTTCCCTATCAGCCAAGTATTACCTCTTCAGAGAGGCCTTCCCTGATCATCCTATATCAAAATCCTCCTTACCGGTTGCAGTGGCGCACATCTGTAATCCCAACCACTCAGGAGGCTAAGGCCAAAGGATCATGAGTTCAAAGCCAGACTCAGCAATTTAGTGAAGCCCTAAGCAACTTAGCAAGACGCTGTGTCAAAATAAAACATAAAATGGGCTGGAGATGTGGCTCAGTGGTTAAGTCCCCTGGGAATAATAATAATAATAATAATAATAAAGCTGTAGCTAGGCTTGGTGACATATGCCTGTAATCCAGAGACTTGGGAGGCTGAAGCAGGAGGATTGAAAGTTCAAGGTCAGCCTCAGCATCTTAGTGAGACCCTCAACTACTTAGTGCAACCCTACCTCAAAATAAAAATTTCAAAGGCCTAGGGATGTAGCTCAATGGTAAAGTGCCCCTGGGTCCAATACTTAGTACCCAAAATAAATAAATACAAAAAATAAAGTAAAATCAAACTCTAGATATAAAATTAAAGGGGTACAAGTCAGGAAAATGCTGGACCCAAAGTTGGAGACTCTTCTTTCTTGTCCTAAATTCTGCCCTCCCTTGCCCTCATTAATTCTGATTTCAAATCTTAGTCCATTTTTGTCTTGCTAGAACAAAATATTAAGGCTGGATAACTCATAAAGTAAGGAGGTTTATTTGGCTCATGATTCTGATGGCTGAAGAATCCAAACAGCACAGCTGTGGTGTCCTGGCCAGGGCTCCTTGGCTGAGTCATGATGTGGAGAACTGGAGAGGGAATTGGCCATGTGCAGAAGGGGCCAGGCATATGGGGTGGCTTCACTTTATAACAACCCCCTCTTGGGTGGCCAACCAAGCAGAAGTAGTCTTGGATGCACAGGGGACAGGCCTAAACCAAACTCCCAGAACAGAAACCTGAACCCCTCAGGCTGCATGTGTACAACTGCACCAGTTTTCCACTCCACGCTGTTTGACATTGGCCTAGAGAAGGCTTACTCCTGAAACACATGAAGACCATTTTGAACTGTTCTCAATATGTTTATATTTAAATATGTCTCAGATAAAAAACAATAGAGAGCATGCCTCATGGGATTTGAGAGCAGAAATAAAGACTTCCTAAACGTGGCCAGGGCCTGGTGGGCTTCAGCCAGGGCCTCTGTGTGGCTGCTTCCTGGCCCCATCTTTCTTTTTGGTTATCCGAAGCTGCGCCTGCATCCTGCCTCCCTGCCCTCCACCTGGAGCCTTCCTCAGAGGGTTTACTGGAGCGATGCTTCTCTTGAGGTAGAAGTTGACCTGGAAGAGGAAAAGCAGAATGTAGGAGCCCAGTTTGGATTCTTCCTTACCACAGTTCCAGGTTCCAAGGGCAGGAGACTTGGGGAGAATTATTACAGCGATGGCCAAGAGCAGCACCAGTGGTATCCTATAGACTTGGATAATAGTCTCCCCAAATTGGTACACAATCACTGGCGACACATAGGTAAATATACATTTATTTTATATGAATGAGAAAAGTTATATCTACATCCCAAATCATGATTTCACCAATATTGTTGCTTAGGACAAGAGCTAGGATTGATGGTGCCCTAATAATATCTGTCTCCTTTACACTGACTATGAGTCACAGGTGCCCTGCTCAGGCATGCCAATGTGTGTTTCAGACCTTTGGAACTAAATTTCCTGCTCTATTGTTTGGCAGTAGATAGAGATGATGGAGACTGCCTATGCATTTTTGGACCCTTAACTTCCCTGGGCACAGATGCATCCTTTGAAAGCTAAATGACACTTCCCTTCTGGCCACAGCCTGAAGATGGAAAGATGCCTTTGAGTGTGGGATACACTGGGCGTGGAGGAGCTGGACAGCCCTTGCAGGCAGGGAAAAAAGAGGGAGAGGCACAGTGTCCTGACAGCTCCCCTGGGGCAAGCCTGGCTGCCCGCCCTTGGAACAGTCTGAGCCAGCTGGGAGTGAAAAACAGGCCACTGATGGAGAGGCCTCTCCATGGGGTTATTTCCTGCCCTGTGCACAGGAATCCAAGCCAGTTCTTCTGCTAGTTCACCAAAGGAGTGGGGGGTAGGGGAGTCAGAGCCAACTGCACTGTGTCATTTACTATTTCCTCTTTAATAATACAGAAATCTAGGAAAGGGGAAAGAAGAGAGGAGAGAGACAACAAAAGGAGGAAAGGACAGAGGAAAACAGAAGGAGCCACATCTGGAAGGCTGTGGGGAAAAGCAAGGCCGCATAGGACCCTGGGAGGTATTTTAAAACTTCTTGATTGTAACATGGAAACCCTTCTGTAAATAATCTTTTTTTTTTCCTTCTTCAGCCAGATGGCTGTCTGCTTTAGGATGGAAAGGGAACTGGATTCTACTGTGATCCATAGATCAGATTCTTAGATGTTACTGTATCTGAGAATTGTACTTAAAAGACAGATTTTTTCCCCCTAAGTTATATTTGACATATAAAGAACCAATTATGCTAATTTATTTAAAGAATATGTGAAAAAAGGAGGTGAAATACTTTGAAACAGAGTATGTTACTTGAGAGGTCTTTTGGTTGTTTGCATTCAGCATTGAATAAACTTGCTTAGCACAAGACCTATGTATACAGCTGTCTGCTGGTCATTTAATTTTAGTGTAGAATAAGGATAAAGGGAAAGAGGACACATTGGCTGGGAAATTGGAATCAGCTAACAGGTTGAAATGGAAGAGTTACTCTTTTCTTCCTGCATCTGTGAGTAGAAGTATTGCAGGAGATGGGAGTAGAGGGACTAGGGGGAGGATTATCTAAAAATTTCAGAGGAATTCTCAAAGGATTTACAGAGTAATTCCTTATTGTCATCCTGAAACAGAAAGCTTCTTCATGCTGAGAATAAAAACTACCCTTGGACTGGGCCAGGCATTAGGAAAGCTGAAGCCGACATGTTCTCTGACTAGCACAGCCTAGCTAAACCTACATATGCCTATCACCTGGCTTTCATTGCTATAAACTGTAACCATTTCTTTAGGGCCAGCAGAGAAAAATCTAGCTGCTTGTCCCCACTTTGATCAAACTGCATAAAATTCATTTTTCCTTTTTTTACATCATTTGCTTATTTCTTATGTATGCAGGCAGCCAAATCTGCTCCCTGCTTGGCTGCTGGTAAAATAAGGGGTTATGAACACAGATTATAAGGTCCTGACACAATGGATGAGGAGGCAGCTTGGAGAGCCTGCCATAGGTTCAAATCCTGGCTTCCATCATTTCCTCACAGGGTGATATTATATAAGTTTCTTGTCTTTAAACAAGTTTCAATTTCCGCAGCCACAAATGGGGACACTCATATCTACCTCATAGAGTTATTGTGAAGGTTATTGAGATAATTCTCGAAAACTCTCTGTGCTAAACTTTTCATTTCTGTGACAAAATACCTGAGAAAAGCAACTTAAAGGAGGAAAGATTTATTTTAGTTCATGGTTTCAGATTTCAGTCAGTGGTGGGCTGGCTATATTACTTTAGGCCTATAGTGAGGCAGAAGATCATGGTGGAAGAATGTGGCAGAGAAAGCTACTCACCTCTCCAAAGCAAGGAAGGAAGGGGAAGGAAGGACAAGCTATACCCTTCCAGACCATGTCCCCTTTCCTGAAGCTTCTGCCACCTCCCAACAATGTCACAGCTATGAGTCCATCTATGGATCAATACATTGATGAGGTCAGAGCCTTCATTATCCATTTAATTCTCAAAAGACCCATCTCTGAACATTGTTGCATTGAGGACCAAACCTTCAATATCTGAGCCTTTGGGGAACATTACTATATTTAAAATGATGATATACTTGACTGCGTTGTATTAAGGAAAGAGAGAGGGAGGGTCTAATAAGCTCTAGAGTTGTGTAGAGAAGGAAAAGGACAAGTGAGGAGGCTCTGGGAAATGCCAACTATAGGAAACAAGAGTTGTAGATGCTCATTAAATAGAATTGACTCTTTTTTCCTCATTTGAAAACATCTGAGGATTAATGTCCATGACCTCTGCTTCCCTTTAAGCTCTGAGAACCTTATCTAATATGACCTAAAGTAAAAAAGTTCCAGACTGTAAATCAAAAAGGTTCTTTGCCTCTCATCCTATCCATAAAGGAAAGCAGTGGAGATTGCATATTACAGTCAGCTAATTAGAGAGCAGCGGGCTCTTGGCAGAGGCAAGCAGAAATCAAGACTGTGTGAGCCAACAGGGCACCCAAGGGCTGGCAGAGCGCCACCCTGTGGTATTCCTTGCTTATGGACCAAGGAATGCAATCAGGGGAAGCCAGGGAATCTGTGCAGGAGCTCCAGGATTTACATGTTGAGTCATGTCAACCACTATATTAAATGCTAGTTGTGCTCTTTCTCTTTTGAACCTCCTGTGAAGGTGGTACCATTAGTCTTAGGAAGAAAATGAGGATGTGAGAGGCAATTTATTCAAGGTCTGTGGACAAATAAGATGGATTTAAAACATACAGTTCTTTTAATCATGATGCTGTGTTAAACAGAAGAATAAGAAAAAGCCAAAAGGAAGTGGGGAAGGAGACAAAAGAAGAAGGACAAGAAAAATTAGGATAGAAGAGCAATGAACTTTTTTTAAAGGTGAAAGAGGGAAGCTCAGACAAGATTAGAGCAAAGCAACCAGTTGTTTAAGACATGGAATAAATGATATTTGTAGTGTTCTGTAAAGCTCAGCGGAACTCACCAGCGTTGGTCTCCCAGGATGCACGATCACATTCTCTGTCTGTGGGTCAAACCCAGGTGCTGTGGCAGTGACAGTGTAGGTACCTGGGAGCAGTAGCCGGAAGTAATCACCTCGTTCACCTAATAGTGACAAGGATGTGACTCAGTCTGCTGATTAAAAGCATGCCCCAAATGGTACCTTGTTATGAACAGTGATCTGGAGGTTTTAGCTGACTACAGCTTGTTTTTTCTTATCGGCAGAATGAAACTGATGAAGCACTAAATTGATTATAAGGATCCTCCTCAATAGGAGGAGCCCCTAAGAAAATGTCCCATTGTGCTTCACACTGAAAGTATTGTCTTCCATTCTAGACCTTGGATTTTAATACAAACTTGTGTCTAGTAAAGGGTCACTAGAAGAAAGCAAAGGTTAAAATGTTTATTATGTTGCCTGATTAAGAAAACTATTTGAGACCTGTTTTTAATATTTGAAAAGTCAAAAAGTCACTGTGAAGAAATAATCTCTACCTAAAGAAACAAGAATGAGAACTATAGATTTAAGTTGCTAAACAGAAGCAGAAATTATTATAATAAACAGAGCTATCAAAAAAAATGACTGCTTTATGAATTTGGGAACACTCGGGTAGATGTTTAATGGGGCGTCCTAGAAAAGCTACATGGTAAAGCTGTGTACAATCTGCACTAATAGCCCTCACACTGATGGCTTGGACAACCAGTGGTAAGAGATGCTGTGAGCATGTAATTTTATATTAAGTAGGAAGGCTTACTAAATGATTGCCAATGTTCTGATTTTGAAAATCATATTTTAAAATTTCTTCCATCACCTTCAAAATAAGCCTGTTTTTCTGTGGCAGGAATGCAGTATTATGGCCAATCATGATGGTGCCTATAAAATTTTTAAAGTATGCAGCAATGATTAATTGAAATAATAAATGCAATAAAGAATGATACAGGTAATAATGAGTAACTATTTTTTTCTGCTACCTATTAAATGTCTTAATTTACTTTAAAATACTTTAGCAAAGGCAGGGTATTATTATGCATATATTAGATAGTTTGAGTTATACTCTGGGGGCTATCATTTTCTTAATTGGAGGTTCATACTTAGAAGTGGATAACAAATGTTTTATCAGAAAGATCCCATTCCAGATGCAGGTAGGAAGAGGGATTCAAGTATGTTTATCTTTATATGGTTTGCTAAGTAGCATAATGAATTTTAGCAATAGATCTTTTTTACCAGTGAAATGTTATTTATTAGCACAATGAGTGTGGGGAAGTGGGCACTTATTGGTGGAATGAATGATGATCACTATCAGTGGCTAGAATGTTTCAGAGATATTCCTCTCCCTTGCTTATATGGGATAAAAATCTAACAAGTACTAAAGCCTGTGCTCTTGAGAGGGTGCCTGAAGTTGGATCCATAAATGGTCCTGGGTCCAGCCATTGGGATGAAAGATTCCAGTTGTCTGAAGCCTGATCAAGAGGCTTCAGAATTCTGCTTTTAGAATATTGCTTTTGTCTTGAATGGACCTTTGATTGAAGCTATGCTGGGATCACCTTAAAGAATACAGATTTCATGCAACTTAAACAGATTACATGAACTGTAAAAATGCATGATTGGTAATAAATGTTTGTGTGGTAAAATGAGCTGAGCCTTGCTGGTTTCAAGGTTGTTGGGAGGTAGGCAAATCTTACCAACCCTCAACCATTGGTAACTACTTCTATCCTTTAAAAACAAACAAGAAAAAAACCTTATAAATTGTGCATAATCAATCTGAGCAAGGTCCATTTGCAACACCATTCTTCCATGATATCATTCTATACCCTTTAAGGAGGCCTCAGATAGCTCTAAGATCTCTCTCCATTACCAGTCTTGATCTGCAGCAAGCCCAGAACCAATCTTGCTAACTTTTGTCTTAGTGGACATATATGGAAATGCCTGAGTCAGGGACAAACTAAACAGATATTACAGTCCTTCTCTTTTCTTTTCTACCCCATTTTCACACCAATTTGCAAGCTATTATAGCCTCAAGGCCGGAAATAACAAGGTTATATGGGCAGTGACTCCTCCACTCTGACAAGAAATTACTTTTCATTTTTTCCCCCTGGTCCTGGCCTCTCAGGGATTGCTTGTTTCACAAGCAAAAGATTTTCCATATAAACATCTTGGTTGCTTGATCCAGCCTTTTAATTTACTTTCTCCATTTCTAGTACCCTTTCTTCTTAACCTCTACCACCAGTATTCCTGACACCCCCAAGTAGGGACCACCTACCCGCAGTGACATCATGATTAATCCCATGGACAGAAATGACAGCCCCTGTGAGATTATGATGATTCTCATCAAGCACCATTCCCTTGATGCCCTGGTGAACCTGCAGGAAAAGTTGAGAGCACAGAGTTACGCTCAAATTGGTGGAGTTTTTTATAGTATAAAGCCCTTTCTTATATGCTTTCACACTCGAGCTCCCCAAGTGGGTAACAGCCCCCAACCCAGTCTCTTTGCTGCTCCTCCACACCAATAATCTCCTCAACAGAACACAGCGATCCTGTTAAAACCTAAGTCAAATCATGTCATGTTCTACTCAAAACCTAACTCAGCTCATAGGCTACGGTTTTTAGGATGGTCTAAAAAGCTGTGGTCCCTGTTGGCCACCTGCTCTCACTGTTTATCACACTCTACTTTACACTTGAAACCCACTGGGAGGCTAGCCACACTGCTATCCTGAACTTGCATTTTTTGGGGGGTGGGGGAATACCAGGAATTGAACTCAGGGGCACTAAACCACTGAGCCACATTCCATGCCATTTTTAATATTTTAAATTAGAGACAGTGTCTTACTGAGTTGCTTAGGGCCCTGCTAAGTTGCTGTGGCTGGCTTTGAACTCTCGATCTTCCTGCCTGAGCCCCCCAAGTTGCTGAGATTACAGATGTGCACCACCATACCCAGCCCATCCTTGCATTTTTTTAACTAAAAATTTTTAAATTGTTATAAAACATACATGACATAAAATGTATCACCTTAACCATTTTAAGTGTCCATTTCAGTGTTAATAAACACAGTCAGAATGTGCAACCAGTGCCAGCACTCATCCTTAGAACTCTCTGCATCTTGTAACACTGAAACTCTGACTTAATTAAATAAAAACTCTCCATTCCCTCCTCTTTCCCTGGCTCTGGCAACCACAATTCTATTTTCTGTCTTCACATTTTGACCACTCTACATATCTGATATATGTGGAATCATACAGTATTTGCCGGGATGAGTACGTTTAGGGATGAGGTGCTTGGGACTAAACCCAGGGGTGCTGCACCAGTGACCTACATCCCAAGTTCCTTTTATTTTGAGACAGGGTCTTTCTGAGTTGCTTAGGGCCTTGCTAAGTTGCTGAGGCTGGCCTTGAACTTGTGATCCTTCCCCAGCTTCCTGAGCTACTAGGATTATAGGTGTGCACTACCACACCTGGCACATTTGCTTTTTCACTTAACATGATGTCCTCAAGGTTCATCCACAATGAAGTATGTATCAGAACTTCCTTCATTTTGAAGGAAGGCTAAATAATATCTATTATATATATACTCCAGATTTTGTTTGTACATTCATCTATCAAGGGACACTTGAGTTGCTTCCACTTTTTGGCTATTATGAAAAATGCTACTATGAACAAGAGTGTGCAAGTTCCTCTTTGAGACCCTGTTTTCAGTGCTTTGGTATACATCCACAAGCAATATTACTGGCTCCTATGGTAATTCTATTTACAATTTGGTGATGAACTTCCATAGTAGCTGTAACCATTTTACATTCCCACAACAGTGTGCAAGGATTCCATTTTCTTCACATCCTCTCTAGCACTTTTTTAGTGTGTGTCTGGTACTGGGGGTTGAACCCAGGAGAGCTCTACCACTGGCCTGCACCCTGAGCCCTTTTTATTTTTTATCAAAACAGGGTCTCTCTCCATGTATGTATAATATATCAAAATACATTCTACTGTCATGTATCTCTAAACAGAAAAAAAAAAAGACAGGGTCTCTCTAAGTTGCCAATGTTGTCGTTGAACTTGCAATTCTTCTACCCCAGCCTCCACAGTTGTTGGGATTAGAGATGTGCCATTTTTTTCTTTTCTGGTAGGTGCCATCCCAATTGGTATGCAGAGCCGGGTACAGTGGTGCATACCTGTAATCCCAGTGACTCAGGAGGAGTCTGAAGCAGAAGGATCCCAAGCTTGAGGCCAGCCTGGCCAATTTAGCAAGATTATGTCTCAAAATAAAAAAATAAAAAGGATTGGGTATGTAGCCCTGTGGTACATACAGGGCTAAATTACTTTTCATTGTGTTCAATCCCTAGTGTTGCAAAAGAAAAATAAAGTTCTTATGGGTATAAGGGGTATCTCATTTGGTATTGATTTACATTTCCCCGATGATTAGTGATGTTGAACATTTTTTGGTTTGTCTTTGGTTTTATGATTGTTTTGTGTTCATTTAGGAAACCCCTTTTTGGCCCTGAATATCTGCATGATTCTCTCCCTCAACTCTTTGAAATCTCTGTTTAAAAGTCACCTTCCCTAGAAGGCTCTCTTTTTTTTTTTTTTTTAATTTTTTATTGTTGGTTGTTAAGAAGGCTCTCTTTATAGCATCTCTCTTTAACATGTTCTAAAATTTACTTTCTTATTTTACTTATTGTCTGTCCTCTCTAGAATTCAATTCTATATTGGCAGGGATATTTGTTTGTGTATTTGTTTATTAATAATACCAAGCTCTTAAGTTTCTGGCAGATCATAGTGCTCTGTCATGTTGAATGAATGAATCTCACTGGGAAGGGCAACCAAAATCTACTGCACTGAGTGACTGGAAAAGTCAGATCTTGCTAACTCAAAAATGGAGCCTGTCACTGGGGAACACCCACATCCCTCTCTCTCTCCTTCCCTCCCTCCCTCCTTCCATTCCCTCCCTCTGGTGAAAAATGACATCTTACCTGTTCTAAGAATTGGATTAGGGCTTCCCGATTACCTAGCCACTCCCGCTGTAATTCCTCTTGACGGGGAAACTTGTTGCAACTGAGTTCCAGAGTGATCTCAAAGCAGTTGGTATGGAGATAATTAAAGTCTTGCATTCCTAAGGGAAAGAGGGTAATTGCAGATTTGTACAACTAGGTTCCCACCCAACCCCCCACCTCATCTCTTGTTAATCACAATTTCTCCACACCATCACCCTCCCCACCTTCTATTCTACCTCTTGATCTCTGTTTACTTTTCTCTCCCATAAAACCTTTCCCCTAGCTGGCACAGTGGTGCATGCCTGTAATCCCAGCAGCTCAGGAGGCTGAGGCAGGAAGACTTCAAGTTTAAGGCTAGCCTCAGCAACTTAATGAGACCCTAAGCAACTTGGTGAGATCCTTTCTAAAAATAAAAAATAAAAAGGGCTGGGGATGTGGCTCCGTGGTTAAGTCCGTTGGATTCAATCCCTGGTAAGAAAAAAAGCTTTCTCCAAGTTTCCAGTTCACATGCCTTTCTCTCTTTCCCATTTCCTCTCTTCATGAATGCTCATTTTGTCATCTGCTTCCTCTCCATTTTTCCCATTTCAGGATTTAATTTCACTTCTCGTCTATCTTATCATTTCCAAAGCCTGATGATTAACTGTGCCTTATTATTAGAACATGCGTTATGTATTGCTTTTGGGAGATTTTTCTTTTTAAATTACAATGTTTTTCAGACCCGGGAGGTTAAAAATAAGATGAATATTTTGTTTTCACATCCCTCACCCTAACTGAGAACATGCTGATCTGAAAATAATTCTCCTAGACAAACTGACTCATGAAAAAGCAGAAGATAGCTGTATATTTTTCCTCCACCAAATGTCTGCTCTGATCTATGTCATTCAATTATTCAATGGAATAAATTATTTTTAGTATGTTTCTGATTATTAGGATAGTACTTATGGCAAATTCACTTGGGTTAAAAATTATGTAAAGATGTCCATACTATACAAAGTGATCTACACAATTCCTTTTTCTTTTCAGAAATATAAGAGCCTATCCAAAAATTCATATGGAATCTCAAAGGACCCCGAACAGCTAAAACCACCTTGAAAAAGAACAAAGCTACAGGACTCCCTGCCTGAATTTAAAACTTAATACAAATCCACAGTACTACAATGTAGTACTGCCATAAAGACAGACCAACAGAGCAATGGATAGAAGAGAGGGCCCAGAAATTCTGCACATATGGTCAAATGATTTTTTTGTTTATTTGTTTATTGATCAAATGATTTTTGACAAGGGTGCCAAGACCATTCCAGGGGAAAGGACAATCTTTAGCAAGTGGGTGCTCAAGAACTGGATATCTACATGCAAATACATGAAGTTGGGTCCTTATTTAACACCATGTAAAAAATTAATTCAAAACGGATCAGAGACATAAATGTACGATCCCCAAACTACAAAACTCTTAGGAGAAAACATAGGCAAAAAGCTTCATGACACTGGATTGGTGATGACTTGTAGGATCTGACATCAGAGGTACAGGCAACAAAAGAAACAATAAGCAAATATGAATTCATGGAAATTGAGGACTTATGCATCAAAAGATAATGTCAATAGGGTAAAATGGCAACTATGGGATAGATGAAAATATTTCTAAGTCATGTATCCAATAAGACCTCAATGTCCAGAATGTATATAGAATTCCTAAAACTCAACAACAAAAAAAACAAACAACAGGATTAAACAGTGGGCAAAGACTTAAATAGGCATTTCTTCAAAGATAAACAAATAGTCAATAAGCACATAAAATAATGTTTAATATCACTAATCAGCAGGAAAATGCAACTCAAACTACCATGAGATCCCACCATGCACTTGTTAGGATGGCTACTATAAAAAGAGAAAAATGGAAATTATTAAGTGTTGGCAAGGATGTGAAGAAATTAGAACTTATGTGCATTTTGTAAAAAAAATCTAAAATAGTAGCACTCCTATGGAAAACAGTATGGTAGTTCCTCAAAAAAGAAAAAAAAAAAAAAAAAAAAAAAAAAAAACAGAATTACCATGGGACTGAGCAATTCTACTTTGGGATATATACCCCAAAGCAATGAAAGCAGGGTCTTAAATAGATATTTGTACACCCATGTCCACAGCAACATTATTTACAGTATTCAAAAGCACTCAAGTGTCCATCAATGGCTGAATATACAAATAGAATGTGGTGTATACATATAATGGAATATTATTCAGCCTTAACAAGGAAGGATATTCTGACACATGTTGCTACATGGATAAACCTTAGGCTCATTATGCTAAGTCAAATAGCCAGTTGCAAAAAGGCAAATACTGCATGATTCCACTTACATCAGGTATACAGAGTAGTTAACATCATAGAGACAAAAAGTACAATGGTGGCTTCCAGGGGCTTGAGGCAAGATAAAAAGTATTCTGGAGGTGAGCGATGTTGCTGGTTGCACAACTTTATGAATGTATTTAATAACACTGAACTAACTATACACGTAAAAATACAAAAGACAGTAGGTTTTATATTATGTGTATTTTACCACAATGAAAATTGAAAACTAAGTATCCATTTAATCAACTTTCACTTGCTCTTTAAGCTAATGAATGCAAACAGCCATTACAGAAAGAATGGGGAAGCTGGACAACAATAACTGTAACCCATGATTCTCTCCATGCATTAGAATCCCTGGCAATCTGGCACTTCCGGCTAAATACAGACTGCTAGGCCTTACACCCAGAGTTTCTGATTCAGTGGGTCTAGGTTTGGGCTTCAAAATTCATATTTCTCACAAGTCCCCAGTGATGCCAGCTATGCAGAACCAGAGACCACACTGTCAAAACAACCATTTTGATTAGTTTAATCATCTTGGAATGTACCAGCTTAATTTAGGACAAGGATTCTCAGAGGAGGCACGGGCCATACTTTCTTAGAGGATGAGGAGGGAGAAGGGAAGCGAGGAAACAAGGAACAAGTCTAATTTTAAAAAGCATATTTGATATTTTTAATCATGGGGGGTGACATCTATTGCTTCTCTAATATAAACTAAAGAAATCAGAGTTTCACAAAATCTACTTGCCTTGTGTTCAGTGAGTTTACAGCCACAAGTTTCCCTCTCAGTACATGGCAACTCCTTAACCTTTCTCTATCTCACTCCACCATCAACTCAGCCCTCACCAATGCTGTAGCCAGCTCAGACTTGAGAGGATGGGGAAAAACAAATGCTAAAAGTGATTCCTGAAAGAACCCAGCTTCCTCTTTTGGCCTATTCCCTATCCATAGACTGCCTATCTGCCAGAGGTTCATAATCAAAGGTTCATGTTGACCCTCAAACATGGGCAAGGTCCACACAACAGAGAATGGAGAAGTTTACTTCTGTTTGAGGCTATAGAATTAATGGTCAATGCCTATGGCAAATTCCTGCATACGGGAGGCAGGCAGTCAGGGTGGAGAGCAGAACTCAGGGCAACTGGTGTTTTCTAGGCCAGTTCCTCTGCTCACCTGCTGCCATGTGAGGCATTCTCTGTACTACTTTTAAAAACATTCATAAGCCAGACATTTCTAAATGTTTCATGTCTGTTATTTTATCTAAAGCATCAAAATCATGAGGCTAGTATTTTTCTTCTTTTGAGGAGAGGCCATGCTTGGGATTGAACTGAGGGCATCACACATGCTAGACAAGCACTCTACCACTGAGCTACATCCCCAGCCTTCTTAGTCTTAATTACAGATCAGTAAACAAAGCACAGAGAGGTTAAGTAAGTAGCCTGAAACAACATGACTGGTAAGTGGGAAAGCTGGGTTTCAACCAGTTTATTCTCAGAGACACACTTCATCACTTGGCCCCATTATTTTCTTCCTATGCTTTAGTCTATTGTGTAAACTACCAGTTTTACAGGACCACAGGTGTTCCTACCTTAGTTTTAAAGATGACACTAAATGCCAATATTAGACTTCTTCATTTTTCAGATGTTTACTGGAGTGCAAAATTCCATAGTGTCCCTATTGTTTCCTTGAAAAAAACTAGTCATTCAGAAGTGGGCACTACACTACTTCAGCTTGAGCAGTGTCCAGGACTCTCCTTACCCTTGCTGAGAGAATACCAGGAAGCCCCATTGGTGATGCCATCTGGGAAGTAATCCCCACAGTTCCAACCTTGGTGCATCCACCCGTGTGCGTAGGAGTAGACCTTGGCCAGCTACAGGAAAAGTATGCAGAAAATGATCTCATATGGCAATGTTCATGCTCATAATTAGAGTGGTGCCATGAAGTCCTATTAGGCAACTGAATATATGCTTCAGTCAAGAAAATATGAACAGGAGAGAGATGGAGTGTATGTGAGTATGTACAAGGGTGGGTATGAGAGTGAGTGTGTGTGAATGTAAGCGTGTGTGTGTGTGTGTGTGTGTGTGTGGAGTGTGAAGCAGACTAGGATTAAGAGATCTGTATTCTGATTTTCCACTCTCTTGGGGTCAAGTTTCTTCTTGTGCAAAAGGAGGGGTAGCACTAGATGGTGCAGGTCCCTTCCAATTGTATCATTCTCTAGCCAAAATCAAGGAGCAAAAAAAAAAAAACAGGAAAAGTAATATGTATTGGCAAATGAGAGATATATTATTTTGGAAGAAAAGAAACATATGCAGTCTTTCTCTATAATCCTTTTTTTTTTAATTATAAGAGTGGACAAAATGAGATTATTGGAGAAAAGGAATAATTGGTGTTTTTTGCTATTGTAATTCATTAGTTGAGGAATTACATTGTTATTATTATTTATATATCAATATATAATTATATGTTAACATATTTTATAATTTAGCCAATACATTTTATTATAAAATATTAAATTTATTATATTATTAAATATATTTATATAAATTGTAATGTATATATTAGCATACATTAATACTTGAATTATTAATTAAGCCTGTTTCATGTGCATAGTCTTCATTAACACAGATATATTATCATAAAATTATAAATTAGAAATCCTAAAATTCATGTTTAATGTCACTAACTTACCACCAGTCTTTTGGCATATTTTTTTTGTTATTTTTTTTTTTATTAGTTACACATGACAGTACAATGATCTTGACATTTCATACATTTGAATCAAATTATATCTGCATTTTGTACATCATGGTAATTATAGTATAAAGCTTTTCTTTTAAATTACTTTTTCATGAATTTATGGCTCATCATGCAAACCTAAATGTAATTTACCAGACTAAGTGGTTCACAAGCAGGCAGTGTTTTCTGTTATTTTTTATGGACTTGTTCCTGATTTGACACAGGTCTATTGAGCCCCATGTTCCCCTGGCCAGGACAATGCCCTTCTGCATACCTTCCGGAACAGCTTGTCGTCAGGTGTAGGGGAATTGGTAGTGCGGTAGGGATTTCGGAACCGATGCCCAGGAGACTTATCATATGGATAATTGGCCACCACTGCCCCTCCATGGAGATTGGCTGAAAGAACAAAGTTGAAGGAGCGCATCCAGTGGATCACAGCCTTAGTCTCGGGCTCCACCTGTAAGTAGATAAGAAAGGCTAGCAGCAAAGGAAAGGCCATGGAAGTCACTGTGAGGAAGTGGCCTGGGGAGAGAGTGTGTCTGAATAACACAGAGAAGTTATTCCCTCCTCTGGATTCTGACCTCTGGAATGACAGTTTCCAAAATTAAGTGTATGGAAGGTTTTTTCAGAAGGAAATTTTACGTGAATTGTAATATACTAAACAGGTACAAGGAGAATATTTGGGGCAGTGGAACAATGCTGTATGACACCATAATGGTGGATTCATATTATCATACATTTGCCAAAAACCATAGAATTGATAACACCAAGAATAAGCACTAGGGCTGGGATTGTGGGCTCAGCGGTAGAGCGCTCCCCTTGCACGGGCGGGACCCGGGTTTGATCCTCAGCACCACATAAAAATAAAGGCATTGTGTTGTGTCCATCTACACCAAAAAATAAATATTAAAAAAAGAATAAGCACTAATGTAAACTATGGACTTTGAGTGTTAGTGGTGAGTAGTGCAGGTTCAGTGACTAACCAATGTATACTCAGGTGGGTGATGGTGGGGTAGGGAATAGGGGGACAGGATGTATGTGGGGACTCTGTACTTTTGGCTGTGAACCTAAAATTACCCTGAGAAAATAAGCTAGAAAGAGAAAGAGGGAGGGAGAGGGGGAAGAGAGAGAAAGAGAGAGAGAGAGAGAGAGAGAGAGATCTGTTTGAAGAGGGCTATCATAATTAGAAAGTTCAGAGCTCCAGCTGAGCCTCTATCTGGACCCTAGGAAAGGGCTTCTTATTTACTCATTGTCCTGTGGCTTCTAAGACAGGAATTTGGGGCTTTAGAAAACAAATCTGGAAAACACTGGATCACAATAATAGGTTTTCAGCCTCCTCCTTCTCCCAACACATGTGCTGTAATGTTGACATGTGGAACATGCTCCTCTAGTTGTATCCAAATGTCATGAATTAGATACACTATCCCTTGGACAAGTAGTGTAACTGTACCCTTTATAGTGCGTTATATTGCTAGTGAGTGACAGTATTTTAAGCAAAGCCCTGAATCTACTTGGACTAGCCTAGTATAGTAGTAGAGTACAGTATTATAAATAAACAATTTATAGTCCTCAATTTTTTTCCTCCTCTCAGGGTAGATGTGCTTAGAGATTATGAGATGTTAATGTGTTAATTACTCCTCCTGGACCAGGGGTAAGCTCTGAAGGACCCATTTTTCCATCCCAGGGGGACTGAATGAATAGTGTTGAGTTCACACAATCAGAATGCATATAGAGTTGTGTGAGGCTTAATGATGAGGCTACATTCTGAGAAATGTACTGTTAGATGATTTTGTCATTGTGCAAACATCTGGAGTGTACTTACACAAACGACAATGGCTACAACATCACAGGGGATAGAATCTTATGGGACCACTACTATATATTCCACCCATCATTTACCAAAATGTCATTAAGGGAAGCATGGCTATAGTACCAAGGGTTCCAGTTCTGGTCTTTGATGAGGCTCAGAGGATTTGAAGCAGTCCTTTCTTCAAGTCTGAAGCCCTATCAGAACAAGGCTAGCTCCTCACTGCTCTTCTTTCTCAAGTCTACTCCGTCAGGAGCAAGAGAGACTTCTCATTGTCTTTTTTCCTTTTAAGATTTAGATAGAGGACTAAGTGGGACCCTAATTATTACTGAATCAATCACCTTACTTTACTAAGAGAAACAAGTTTAACAAATAAGAACATTCTTTTGGCTAGATAGTCTGACTAGTACAAAGTTATTTTTCATGTTTTACTTGAGCCAAAGGATAGTTGCTATCAGACACTTAATAAGCATGACTTTTACTTCCTATTCAAAGAGAAAAAAATATCTAAGAATATTCCATCCAGGAAATTCCCAGAATAAAGGCCTATGCCTGATTTATTTTTCTCCACCCAGTTTCTAAGTTTAGATATTCACAAATAAAACATTTAGAACTATACCCTACAATATAAAAACCAAGGATGACAATGATGCTCCAGAGATGACTGTAGCTATTTGTAGGAGCAGGCCCACTAGCATAGTGAAACTTCATATTTCCAGGGTCACATTATAGGTCTCCTGAAGAGTGAGGCTTAGGAGCATGGACTGGCATCTCCTATTGAGACAGAAGGGAAATGAGGGAGAATAAGGTAAAATGTTAAGGTCACACATACAAAGGGAAGAGGAAAACCCACAAGGGTCAGACTTCCTAAATCTCTTTTTGGAACTAATTGCTGAAAAATACACAGTTCACCACAAGTAGGAGAGATTTGAGAAATCTTGAGAAGAGAATGCTAGAATTCTCTGTCAATAGTTTAGTGCAATAGAAAGAATGCTGGGTTAAGAGTCAGAAGGCCTGAGTTTTGATCCTGATTCCAATCACTTATTAGCTATGCAGATTTAAATCATTATTCTTAGTAGTAGCAGTATTAGGGATTGAACCCTGCGGTATTCTACCACTGAGCTACATTCCCCAGCCCTTATTATTTTATTTTGAGACAGAGTCTCACTAAATAGGCCAAGCTGGCCTCAAACTTGTGATCTTCCTGTCTCAGGCTCCCAAGTTGCTACCATGCTCACCTGAACTATTTTATCTGTAAGTATAATATCTATAAAACCGAGATTGGGGGGCTGAGGTTGTGGCTCAGTGGTAGAGCACTTGCCTAGCATGTGCAAGGTCCTGGGTTTGATCCTTAGCACCACATAAAAATAAATAAACAAAATAAAGGTATTGTGTCCAATTACAACTAAAAAATAAATATTAACAAAAGAAACAGAGATGGATGACACTGCTCAATGAATTCACCACACTAACGATCAACTGAAACACTGGCTATGACAGGACTTTGTGAAATGATTAAGTACCCTGCAACTACAGGATACTGCTTTCATCTCCTCCACCCCCATCACTACTATCATCGAATATTTATGCTCCTTGGAGAGCTCTACTTGGGGAGAGAACAAATACAAAGAAGCATAAGATACAATTATTATTCCTCTAGACAAATTTACATGAAGTTGAAGAGATGCTTAATTCTTGCTTGTTAATATGAAGATTGCTTAACAATCCTTTTGCAAGAAATTCCAGATGCTGATTTTTTTGCTTCTGTTTGCAAATTTTATCTCCTACCTGACTTTCCCAGTTCTCCGGAAGGGGCAAGTGATGGTTGGGTCCTCCATGCTTCTCATTGTAGTAGAAATAGATATTGAGATCAGGGAAGTTACGGTTCAGGTCCACTTTATTGGCATTATTTCTGCCAACGAGATACTCAGGCATGTTTGGGCCCTAGAGAAAAAATGAAGAGATGAAAAATGTAAGTTTCAGACTGAATCCTATATTTTAAGAACACTGTACAGCTCTTTTATGATATTAACTGCCTCTATCAAATAATGTAGCACTTTCTTCTTTAACCTCTCCAAAATCCCAATGGTGTGGTTGAAGTTTCCCTGTAAAACATGTACTGCAGATAGAGATCCCAGGAGAAGCTGTAACAACAGGAAAGTGTTTCAGAATCATGGGAGCTCTTTTTTTTTAAAAAAAGATCTTGAGATATAATTTACATACCATAAAATTTACTTGTTTTTAGTGTACAAGTCAATGAATTTGATATGCTTATAGAGTTGTACTGCCATCATCATAATCTGATTTCAGAACATTTCTATCACTCTAAAGAGAAACATTTAAAAAGAAATTTTTTTTTAGTTGTTGATGGACCTTTATTTATTTATTAATTTATATGTGGTGTTGAGAATCGAACCCAGGGCCTCAACCATGCTAGGCAAGCGCTCTACCACTGAGCCACAACCTCAGCCCGAGAAACTTTTTTATTATAGTCAGTCCTCATTTTCCCACCAGCCCAAGGTCATCACTCTTTCTCCACAGATTCACATTCTCTAGACATGTCACAAAAGTAGGATCATGCATTGTATGTTCTGTGATTTTTTCCCTGACTGCACATAATATTTTTAGAGGCTCGTTCATTTGTTGATGAGCCTCATTGTTGTTGCTGTTGATGAATAACTCTATCAAATGGATATATCACATTTTGTTCATCCATTTACCAGATGAGGGACTGCATTAGTTTCCTAGAGCTTCTGTAACAAGTTACCACAAAACGGGAGTCTTCTAATAACAGACATTTGTTGTCTCACACTTTTGGAAGCTCAAAGTTTGAAATCCAGGTGCCAGCAGGCTCAGCTTTCTGAAGTTTCTCTCTTTGTCTCTTCTACCTTCTGGAGGTTGGAGGTAATCTTTGGTTTGTGAATGCATCCCTCTAATTTTTTTCTTTTCTTTCTTTCTTTTTTTTTTTTTTTTTGTAACAGGGACTGAACCAAGTGGTGCTTAACCACTAAGCCATATCCTCAGTCCTTGTCATATTTTATTTACAGACAGGGTCTCACAAAGCTGCTTAGGGCTTTGCTAAGTTGCTGAAGCTGGCCTTGAAATTCTGATCCTCCTTCTTTAGTCTTCTGCTGGGATTACAGAGATGTACCACCATGGCCCACTCTAATTTCTGCTTCCATCTTTACCTGGATTTCTCTCTAGTGTGTCTGTGTCTCTATTTAGACACTTCTTTCTTATTATAAGGACAGTAATCATTTTGGATTTAGAATACACCCTAATCCAGTATGACCTCATCTGAACTTAATTATATCTGCAAAGACTATTTCCAAACAAGATCACTTTCACAGGTACTAAGTGAACACAAAATTAAGGACAGTGATACTACTCAACACAGTACATGGACATTGGGTTGTTTCTGCTTTTTTGGCTGGTGTGGACAATGCTGCTATGAACATTTATGTACAAGTCTATGTATGAATGTGTATTTTCTTTTCCTTTGGTAGATACCTAGGAGTAGACCTGTTGGTATCTGTTGATGTAAGGTCACTTTTTTTTTGGTAACAGGGACTGAACTTTTTGAAAAGCTGATGAGCTGTTTTCCAAAGTGGTTTTACCATGGAAATCCACTCTCTTGCTTTTTGAAAAATATAAGTTCTTTCTTATTTTCTTTTGAGCATTATCAACTTCCTTTCTCTTCTCATACTTCACACTTTATTTTTATTTGCTCATGTATTCATTCATTTATTCAGTCATCCAGTTAGTCAACTCAAATTTACTTAAGTTTCCATTCAAAGGTCTGACAGACATTAGGGAAAGGAGTAAGTGAGGCATTATTCTACTAATTCATAGTGTACATAAGGTAGATATATATACACAAATAATTAAATATAAAAAGTGGTATAACAGAGATATGTTAAGATGCCTGTTAAAAACTGAAATTCCATTCAATGTTTTGTGTGGCATTGGAGAAAGGGATTAGTGTCCCTGGCAGCCCTGTGGACTGAGAGGATAGAGTCCAAATTGTTGGTTGTTTCCCAAAGTGGGGTGAATGAATGATGTTGGACAGCTGAAAAGTAAGTCACAGATGTACTACCTCTTGAATTTTCTCTAAGAGATCTTTATTTTTATATTTTCATAATATCCTGCTTATATTTTATTCTTAGATCACCATTCAACACATAACTTTAAAAAAATTCTCTTAAGTTTTCTGTAGCAATTCTGTTCCAATGGAAACATTTATCTGATCTTTCCGTGGTGCACACTTCTATGATACAATGATTTTCTTTTTGCTTCCAGGGTTTTTTCACTGCTTGCTCATTCTTATCAATGTAGTTCTTAATCGTTAGCATTAAGCCTTGATCAGTTGATTTGCTACCCAGACTGGTTATTAGTTAAGATGACAAGAAGAGGGGCTGAGTGTGTGGCTTGGTGATACAGGGCTTACCTGGTATTCATGAGGCCCTGGTTTCCATCCCCAGCACTAAAAAAAGAAAAAAAAGAAGGCAGGAAGGAAAAACAGCATGGCAAAGGGCTTCCCCTAACAGTCTGGAAGTCAGAAAACTGAAATAAATGCTAGGTGTCAGCAGTGTTGAATTTCTTCTGAGGGCTCTAGGGGTATCTGTTTTCTGATGTTTCCACCTTCTAGAGGCCATCCACATTCCTGAGTTTATGGTTCCTTCTTCCATTTTCAAAGCCAGCAGCATAACTGGCTCAACATTCTGGTTCCATTCCCCTGTCTGCCTCTAATCAATCTTTAACCATATTCCCGTGTAGATTTAAACTACTCAGGAAGCTGAGGCAGGAGGATTGAAAGTTCAAGGCCAGAACCAGAAACTTAGCAGAACCTCTGTCAATTTTTTTAAAAGGGCTGGGGGTGTGGCTGGGTGGTTAAGTACCTCTGGGTTCAATCCCTGCTTCCACAAAAAACACAAAAACCCCTCAAATAGGCATGTAAGGTGGGAGGGTGAACAATATTTACAATCAGAAGCCAAAAGTTCAGGGAAAGAGGTGTATTTTGCAATATCACTTCACTTCTGCATAGTATTTTTCAGTTTACAAAGTGTTGTCATGGACATTGCCTCATTGATTCTCACAATAAACCTTGAGGTCAACTGGACAGGTGTAGAAGCAACTGAAGCTCAGAGAGCCCACAGTTATTGCCTAATGTGCTACATTTAGACAGGACCAAAGTCTTTATTATAGTTCTATTTTATTTTCTGTTGCTTTTTTTCTCAGCCATTTTATCTTTTATTATTTTTTTGTTTATTATTTTATTTTTAATTATTTATTTTATTTATTATTTATTTATTTTGGTATGGGGGACTGAACTCAGGAGTGCTTCCTCATTAAGCTATATCCCCAGACTTCTAATTTTTTAAAATTTTGGGCTGGGGATGTGGCTCAAGTGGTAACGCGCTCGCCTGGCATGCGCGGGGCACTGGGTTCGATCCTCAGCACCACATAAAAATAAAATAAAGATGTTGTGTCCACCGAAAACTAAAAAAAAATAAATAAATATTTAAAAAAATCTCTCTCTCTCTCTCTCTTTACTTAAAAAAAAATTTTTTTGAAACAGGGTTTAGCTAAGTTGTGGAGGGTAACCTTGAATTTGTGATCCTCCTGCCTCAGCCTCCCAAGAAACTGGGATTACAGGCGAGTGCCATCACTCCTAGGGTTATCCTTTATTTCTTTTACTGGAATACATTGTCTGTTGGCATTTAGTTCTGAGGGAATGGGCAAGAAGGTAGACCTCCCACAGGCAGACAGGATAGAGCCTCAGAGAAGGGAAAAGGGGGAATGAGACCATGCCATCCTAGAAGGAGACATCGGGCCTGGAGAATATCCTGGCATTGTCTCTGACAGCTTCAACTGCAACAGCTCCTCCTTAGTTAGCATATCCTGTCTCTGCTGCTGACAGCTTCAACCACATGGCTCTTCCTTGGCTATAGCCGCAGCCCACTACCAGATCTAACCTTGCTTGAAGAAATTCCCCTTCCCGATAGACATGTCAAATCACAAGGTTGGACCTGACCTCTTAATTATGTAAATAAGGGATTAAACTTAGGCACTTCTGATTGGCTTACTAAACTGGGAGCTTGAAGAGCTTGATTGGTCCATCCCTCACCCCCAAAATTATCTGTACTGGGTCATCAGATATACCTTTAAAAACCCTTAGACAGCAGATAACCCCTTGGCATCCCTCTCAGGACCCTTCCCTATTTGGGAGCTCTGCTTTCTTTCTATTATGCTAATAAATCCTGTTACTTTGCTCTCACTCTTGCGTCCATGGATTTCATTCTTTGAATTTGGAAACAAAGAACCCATCTATCCATGCTCTGTGTTATGCTTTCTGTCCTAATATGGCTTTAGTCTCTCCCTGGTATTTCCTTTGGGCTTCTACCTGTGTGGCCGCCGCCTCGTAGCCATCCGGGTTCATGGAGGGCAGGATGTGAATGCGCGTTTCCTGGATGAGCCGCATGATGCGCTGGTTCTGGTTCTGGAATTCTTCACACAAGAACTCGGACAGCTGCAGCAGCAGCTCCCGGCCCAGCACCTCGTCACCATGCATGTTCCCAACATACTTGACTTCCGGTTCCACTGCAAGCAGAAAACGCACATGCAGGAGAAGAAAAGATGGGGAAGTTTAGAAGTGCTACTAAGTCATGATCTTGCAAAAGCATCTTTTCCTTCCTTTTCATTACTACATAAAAGATAACCTTAGGCTTTCATTGGGTCTTTACCAATAATCCCGGAGCCCCTTCCTAACCAATTGCAATTGCAAAATGTCTAAAACTTCATACCAGGGATAATAATGCTTACTACCTTTTGAACCCCCACGATGAACTGGGCATTTATGTTCATTATTACTCATCTTCACAGAAAACCTGTGAAGTAGGCATAGTTAGCCTCAAAGCCAAGAAACTAGGGATGAAAGAGGTTAAGAAACTTGTCTGAGGCCACCTAGCTAGTGCAGATAATAGAAGTCAAAGCCCAGCTTGCATTTGTAGTACCATTCACAGTAGCATGCTGCTTCTTAAGCACAGACTAATCCTTCAGGGTGAGGCTGGTGTTTCCCCAAAATATGTCTCATGAAATAATCTAGGTTATGGCATAACATTTAACTGTCATCCCAATTGAATTGAAGACATAATTTTTAGGGCACTTAGGAAGCTAAAATCTTTCCTTTGTATCTGAGAGGCATGTCTTGAGACAGAGTAGGAAGGAATCTATTTATGTTTCAGTCCTTAGTGTTTGGCCATGCTAACAACTGCTCAGCTTGGCTAAGAATTGAGATTCTGGAGATAGCCCTAGAATCATTTAAAGATCAATCTGTGGAAAGAAACTGACCAAATCATGGTATGTGCACATATGAATATATCACAATGAATTTCACTTTCATGTATTACTAATGCACCAATTAGAGCATTAGTTATACATTAAAAAGCAAACACAAATTTAAAAAAATAAACTATTAAAAAATGATCAATAGAGTAGAGGCAAGGGGTCAGGAGAGGGAGGAAATAATACTGAGAATTGAAAAGAAGCAAGTTACGTTATATGCATTTATGAATATGTCAAAATAAACCCCACAATTATAAAAAATATAATGTACTAATAAAAACACTTTTAAAATATTCTTGCTGGGCATGGTAGTGTAGGCCTATAATCCTAGCGACTTGGAAGTCTGAGACTGGAAGATCACAAGTTCGAAGCTAGCCTCAGCAATTTATCAAGACCCTGAGCAATTTAGTAAAACTCTGTCTCAATAAAAGGTCTGGGGATGTGGCTCAGTGGTTAAGGGCCCCTGGGTTCAATCCCTGGAGGAGGAAGAGGAAGAGGAGGAAGAGGAAGTCTTATACATGCTAGGCAAGCACTCTATCACTGAGATACAACCCCAACTTAAAAATGTTTTTTAAAAAGATTACGCTTGCTTCTTCTTATTTTCCTCCTCCTCCTCCTCCTCCTTTTTCTTCTTGCTGCTGCTGCTTCTGTTGCTGCTGCTGCTGCTTCCTCTTCTTCTTCTTTTTGAGCAGGGTCTGGCTAAGTTGCTGAGGCTGGCCTCAAACTTGCAATACTCCTGCCTCAGCTTCCTCAGTCTCTAGGGATTACAGGCCTGTGCCATTGTGCTGGCTCTTGTGCCCTTTTAAAAGGAAAGAGAAAAGCTTCTTGTCAAGTGTCTTCTTTTCTACCCAACACTTTTCTGCCTCCATTTCTTTTTTGATTCTGCACCTCTTCATCTCCTTATTTCCAAATTCTCCTTATCATACTCATAGGCTGAGTTCAAATATTTCTTACTCTGTGAGGCCATCTTGGGCTCTCTTTGCTGGAAGTGAGTTGTCTGCTGACTTCTCTTTTACCATACTTTATATTTTTGCACATATTATAATTCATTTACTGGACCTGGCCTTAGTAATGTATACAATTTTTAATTTTCTTTAGAACATGATCCATTATTAGTTATCTTAGTATTCCTAGAGCAGTCTTTTCCAAAGGAACATTTGTAACCTACAGGATTTCTGTGAATTTTCCATAATGTGTATTCTTAATCTTGTGGTATTTCTTAAATTTTAGATTATGTATTTCTTATCTTTTTTGGTGTTCTTTCAGGAAAGGTTGGTAATAGTAGAGGTCAGTTTCCTTCATATCCTTATTCAATAAAATAAAACTTGGAAAATCTATTTTAGTCTCCTCAAACCTCTCTTATTCATAAAAAAATGTTTTAACTTTTCTATGAAATCCAAGTCAGGGAACCACTGTCCTGTGGAACTTGGCATGGTGGAATGTACTTAGTATGTATTCAAGATTAGATTCTTTTTTCTGTTTTCCCTCCCCTTCTTTTCTTTTTTTCTTTCTCTTGGTCTTTCTTTTCTTCATGGTATTAGGGTACCAGGTACTTCCTACCACAGAGCTACAACCCCAGTCTTTTTTATTTTTTATTTTGAGACAGGGTCTCTCTAAATATCCATGCTGGCCTTGAACTTGTGATACTCCTGTTTAGCCTCTGGAGTATACAGGGTTACACTTCCATCCTAGGCTAGGGCTGAGAACATAATCATTTTTTTTTTCTTTCCTTCTTTTTGTTTCCCCATCATGTGGTGCTGGGAATCAAACCCAGGGCTTTGTGCATGCCAGGCAAGCACTTCACCACTGAGCCCATATCCCCTACTGTGGGGGCCACCCCTGATCTATTTGAAAAGCTTCTCCTCAGCCTTGCAATTCTGACATTGCAAGTCATTTTGTGGCTTCTCCCACTTAATGGATTACTCAAAGCACGAGGTGACCTCAGTCTTTAGTCGGCTAGAGAGGTTGCTCTGTAGCTCCTGACTGGGGCATTACCCATTGAGCTTGGATAGCCCTCCTCCTACCTTATTTGGCAAAAGAACACTCCTTGAAAATCCTTTGAAGCCCCCTTGTATAAATAAAGCAAACGTGGGCTCTTCTCTCTCTCCTTCCACTGTGGAAGCAGGACCCCTAAGGTCATAGAGCCGTCCCATTTTCACTTTTCAAAATTATTTCTTTGTTGTGTGATTTTTCGCCATATTTCTCAGCCAGTACATGTCACACAAGGGAAACCGAAAATTCATAGCCCGCGCAGGTCATGGGCAAGACCCAGCCCTCATAATATACAACCATTTCTCATATATCCATTTTGGTTCAAGCCCCCAACACCCCATGCCTGGATTTTTGTAATGAATTTCCCACTTGGTCTCCTAGCATTTGCCCAGCCCTATTTAAGCCTCTTCTCCTGAATCAAGTGTTTGCAAATAATTTCTTTAAAGGGACAGAAAGTAATCCTTTGGGCTTTGTAGGCAATATTGTCTCTGTCACAGCTATTCAACTCTTCCAGCAGAAGTAACCAAAGTAATGCAAAAGCAAATGGGTGTGGCCATTCCAGTAAAACTTCATTCACCAAAGCTGGTGCTGGTTCTGGAGCGGCAATTTGCTGCCTTCTATTCTGAGTGATCTTTTAAAAAATGTAAGTCAGATCTCTGCAACTCTTCTGCTTAAAACTCTCTAGTAGCTTCTCATTTAACTCGAAGTAAAAGGCAAAATATTTATAAAGATCTCTAAGGCCCTATGTGATCCTCTGCTGCCCAGTATTCCCCACTGTCTGTCTCTGACTTCGCCTCTTGTTCTACCCTTGTTCACCCTGCTGGACCATAGGGCCCCCCCTCACTTTTTCCTCATGTGTGCCAACATGCCCTAGCTCCTAGAACATTGCATCTGCTCTTGCCTCTGCCTGTTATCTTGCCACCTCCCCAACCCCTGCCCAATATCAACATGAAATGTTCCCTCATGTCCTTTGGATCTCTGTTCAAAACCACCTCAGTGGGGATTCCTTTCCTGATCACCAATTCCTTGCTCCTCCCAATATTACCTCATGAAACTCTCTCTCTCTTTCTTGAGTTGTTTTTGCTCTAGCATTAGTTTCCATCTGATATAATATGTATTGCATTACTCAGTAGACTCCACTAGGCTTCAGGCCTATGAGGGCAAGGTCTTTGTATTATTCTGTGCTGTAATTCTAGAATACATAAAAGTTCTTACATATAGTAGGTGATTGGTAAATATTTATAAAATAAGTGAATGAAAGGAACAGATGGATGAATAGCTAAAGTTACAGGCTTCAGAGAAAAGTGGAATCAGGAGAGGCAGTGTTGTATGAACAAACTCCAAGGAAGGCCTTGAATGCTAGAAAGTATAGGGGCACCAAGAAGGGGACATGTATTGGGGGACTAACCCCATCATACCTACTAATAGTCTTAAGCTTCCACAGTGTACACAAGATCTGAGTAAAAGCATGTTCTAGCTATGCAAGTGCAACTTCAAAGCAAGTCCCTTCAGACCATATAACCATATGACGATCCTTGAGCTTCTCCTATGTAATATTCTGATATTCTCATAGTCCGAATTCATGGGATTTTTGAAACAGAAGAGTAAGATTATAACAGTTTCTAGGAAAACAATTATTTTGTGTGCCAAATAACACAAGGTTCAGAGAAAGTTCAGGAAGATTCAGAGAAGATTCAGAAGATTCAGTGGGAGCAGTTAGGAGTTAAGAGACCCATTAGGAGTTTATGCAATAATTTAGGCAAGTTGTGGTGGAGACTGGGCTAGGGCTGAGGATGTGGGAGTGGAGAGGAAAGTAAAGTAAAGCAATGAGAAATTAGGAATAACTTAAATGTCCATCAACTCTTGAGCAGCTAAAGACAACCATGCAATAAGATATTTCACAGCCCAAAATAGTGGCATAGATCTATATTTATAGACACAAATGCTATTCATAACAGACTGTGAAATGAGGAAAGTAGCTATGATTCTATTTTTATGAAAAACTATATGTGTATGAAAGGTAGATTTAAATATGCAGAGAAAAATGTCTGGAAAGATATGCATCCATTTGTTACCAGTGGTTTTCGGTGAATGTTGGGATTATGGATGAACTTTATTATTATTACATCTAATTTCTAATTTTTAATCTAAACATGGATTGCTTTGATAATAGAAGCAAACTGGCAAAAAAGAATCCAATAAATAAATCTAATACCCTAACCCTTGAACTCTAGGATACTGTGTTCTATCCTGCTTCTACTCCAGGAAGAGTCTCCTAAACCCTTCTAAGTTCCCTGACAAAACTACAAGAGCTAATTATTTCTGCTATGCTCCTGAGCCATTGGATTGCGAAAGATATTATACTATAATAGCAAGAAAAAAGAAGAGGAATGGGAGGGAAGGTAGGGGGATGGGAAGGGAGCCGGGAAGAAGATTCACCTTTTGCCATTAAGGTCTTAAGCAAACAGAACCTAAAGAGGAAGGAGTGGCTGGAGCCTGAATTGGGGTTGTGGCTCCCAGAGGCAGGGGAAGTTTAAGAGCCAAGTAGGCAAAGACTTGTCACAGTTTGAGAAAGAGGTAATAATCCATAGGAGAAGGTTCCACTGACCATCCTAGAAACAATACCAATGACTGGATTTGTAAGGGAAGAGTCCTGTCCCACCTGCTCCCAGAATTGCTCAAGACTTACAGGGCTCATGGATTCCAGGGTAGTCACTGAATTCCAGCACATAGAGGTGTCTTCCCTTTACACTGCGACCGATGCTGTAGATCTGAGTGATGTAGGGGCACTGGTTGTGCACCTTGTACAGTGTCCGCACAAGGTCATCATAATGGTGGTGACGAAAAGTGACTGGGGCAACCAACTTGAAGAGAAGGAGGAGGTGCAGGAAGGCTGAAAGCAGGTCTGACATCTTGCTGGGCTTCTTCAAAGAGAGACACTGAAATGTGCTCCCACCTCTCCAAATAGCCTCCTCAACAGTCAAAATCCAAAGAGCCGAAAACCAGCACTACCTAGCTCCCACCACAAAACACTAGTGTGATAGCACTTGAAAGGAGGCTTAGGACTTTCCCACTCAATGCTGGAAATTATTTATGTAGCTCTGGAATAGCCCCTCAGCTCTCCATACTCATTTCTCTTCCTTTCCCAATCCTGGAAAACCTCTTGAAAAGTTCTTGCACATCCCTATATTGGTAGTCTCACGGATTCTGGTTTACTGATTAACTGGACTGTAAACATGCTTTGATAAATATCTGCTTATAACCCTTTGATTCCCAGAGGATTTTAAGAAACTTGACCTGTGCCTGTTCCCTTTGTTATAACTTATGAAAAGAATTCTCTGTCCCCTTTGTTCCATCCCACATACAGTTGCCAGACTATCTTTCTGAAGCACAGCTCTATCTTGTCCTTTTTAAAAAAAAAAAAAAAAACATTTAAAATTTGTTCACATTAGTTGTCTTGTCCTTTTTTCCCTTAAAAATCTTTCAACAGACACCATTAAGAAGATGAAAATAGGACTAAGTTTGGGGTTCAGTGGCAGAATGCTTGCCTTGCATGTATGAGGCACTGGTTTCCATCCTCAGCACCACATAAAATTAAATAAATAATAAAGGTATTGTGTCCATCTACAACTAAAAAAATATTAAAAAAAGAAGATGAAAGATAAGTCACAAGTTGGGAGCAAACAATTGTAAATCACGTCTGATAATATATCAATAATACATAAAGAATACTTATAACACAAATATAGTACTATAAAAAACTCAATTAAGAGCTGGGCAAAAGATTTGAACAGATATTTAACCAAAGTAGATATGCAATTGTCCAGTAAGCATATTTAAATATTTTCAGCACATTTAAATCAAATCGAATTAAAAACATCTGAAATATCATTTCACCTTTACTAGAATGGCTGTAATAAAAAAGACAGCAATAACAGCAGTTGGTGAGAACAGGGAGACAGTAGAACCCTCAAATATTGCTGATGGGAATGTAAAATAGTGCAGGTATTTTGGGAAGTTTGGCAGTTTCTTAAAAGATTTTTTTTTTAAAGAGAGAGTGAGAGAGAGAGAGAGAGGGAGAGAGAGAGAATTTTTTTTTTTTTTTTTTTTTAGTATTTATTCTTTAGATTTCGGCGGACACAACATCTTTGTTTGTATGTGGTGCTGAGGATCGAACCTGGGCCGCACGCATGCCAGGCGAGCATGCTGCCGCTTGAGCCACATCCCCAGCCCTTAAAAGATTTAATATATATTTACTATATAACCCAGCAATTTTAGTTATCTATCCAAGGAAAAATGCCAACATACATCAACAGAAGACTTGTACACAAATGTTCATATTATTATTCATAATAGTCTAAAAGAGGGAACAACCCAAATATCAATTTATTGCTGATGGATAAACAAAATACAATGTATCCATACAACGGAATATTATTTAGCAATAATAAGGAATGGAGGGGTTGGGGTTGTAGCTCAGTGGTAGAGCACTTGCCTAGCATGGGTGAGGCACAGGGTTCAATCCTCAGCACCACATAAAAATAAATAAATGAATAAAATAAAAGGTATTGCATCTATCTACAACTTATATATATATGATATATAAAATTTAAAAAATGAAAATAAAAATAATGAAAGTAATAATAAAAAAATAATGAAAGTAAAATAATGTTTGCCTGAGGTAGGGGATGGGAATGAGGATTAATTGTAAATGAGCAGGAAGGATCTTATTGGAGTGATGGATGATGGTAATGGTTGTACAACTTGCTAAATTTACTAAAAATCATTTAATTATACAATTTAAAAAGGCAAATATTGTGGTATGTAAATTATACTTCAGTTTCAATTGATTTTCATGCATTGTAGCACAAAATCCAAATGCATTGGCCTGGCCTTCAAGTCCGTCTTACCAGGTCCATTTGTGCCTCATCATCCACACAGACCTGTTGCTCTTCCTGTTGTCTTCTGACCATACTCTCCTGCATGCTATTTCCCTAGAGACTTTAACCCAGCTCCAATTCTTGAGTTCCCCTGACCCCTGCAGTTACTGCTATAATCAGTCTAAAAGCCTATGGCTTTGCCTGTTGTGTAGTCACTGTGTTAATTGTTGGGTATTTGAACAGAGTTCAGCCCCACTGATGAACTGTATCTTCCCTGCAGACTGATCTTTGGCTTCTAGCAAGGAGCCTGGAACAGGTCTCAACATCTGCTCAACAAATGAATGAATAAATAAATAAATGAACCCATTATTGACTTTTCCCCTTGTGTCTTGCTGGAGCCTTTATCCCACCTTTCTAAGGAAATCCTATGATTTATAACCTGTCAATAAAGGTACTTATTCCCTCTTGGTGTTTTGGGTGAACACTGTATCACTTGGCCAGTGTGGCTCACAAATGGTCCAGAGGGTTGGCCCAAGATAAGTAAAAAATTAACAGTACCACAAATCCCATAATTTTCTGTTAAAACCTTGTTACCCTATGTGGTGAAGGTCGAGATCAAGACAGAAGATTGAAAGAACATCACTACTCCTATCTCTCACTTAAGTCCTTGATCTAGGATGATATCTATTGTCACTACTGAGGGCTTGGCTTGGTGGCCCTCAGATAACCCAAAATTGTTCCTCTGAAAGCAAAATTCCCCCCTTCTCTGGCAAATGTGCCTACAGATCTTTACAGAGACCTTGCCCATGCTAAATCAATGACTCCCATTCCCAAAAAGGAGGCACCTTCCCTGCCTGTTTGTGCTGCCAGTTGTTGTAAATAGGGAATATCAAGGCCAAGAATGGGATTCCACATAGAATCCCAGAGTGAGTGCCCTGAAGCCTCTCAAACCAACTAGAGGTAAAAGGAACATGGGCTTGAGTGTCAAAGGAATATGATTTTGAGATGAGGAGATTATCTTGGATTTTTCTCTGTGTAATTACAAGTGTTCTTGTAAATGGAATAGGGAGGCAAGGAGAGTGTCAGAGTGATCAGATGTGCGAAAAACGCAACTAGTCATTTGCTTGTTTTGAAGATGGAGGAAAGGGGTCATGGAATGTGAATAGCATCTAAAAACTATGAAAGGCAAGGCTTCCCTAGAGCTTCCAGAAAGGATCATCCCTTGATTTTAATTCAGTGAGACATATCTCAGGTTTCTGATGTCTAGAACTGTAAGATAATAAATATGTGTTGTTTTAATAAATCTGTGTTTACATTTGTGGTCATTTTTTACCATAACGACAGGAAATTAATACATCCCCAAAAATCTTAAGCCTGGAAGAAAACTTGGGTACTTGGGGGAGGCTGAACAGAAAGCTTAATGTCAATTAAGCTTCACAAGATTTTGACTCGAATCTTGGGAAGCCAGTCCTGCAGATGGCTGAGTAGGCCCAGAACAAATGGCATCTTCAGGGTTTTCTGTTTCTTCTTTTCAACCAAATTTTAGGCATTTCTTTCTTTCTGGGTTCACAATGTCCTCAAAACTGTCTCTGTTTGGACCATTGAACCTGTAGTCTGCCTTAGACAAATATATTTTTTTAATATTTTTTATGAGGATTAGAATTCTCACAGGTGGGATTTTATTTTATTTTTAATTTTTTTAGAGAGAGAGAGAGAATTTTTTAATATTTATTTTTTCGTTTTTCGGCGGAGACAACATCTTTGTTTCTATGTGGTGCTGAGGATCGAACCCGGGCCGCACACATGCCAGGCGAGCGCGCTACCGCTTGAGCCACATCCCCAGCCCTGACAAATATTAATAATATTTCACAATTCTATACTGCCTTATGGGGCATCAACTACTTCTTTATGTATTCCCCAAACAGCTAAGGAAGGAGGGTAATTTCCAATTTAGATGAGGAATCTTTCAGTCATGTAACTAGTAAGTAACAGAGGAAGGCCTGGATTCCATGCTGGCACAGTTAGCCCAATATCTTATTGAACCCTTTCCAGTGAATACAGGTAAGGAGTAAGGACAGGAACCCACCAGAAAGTGGAAAGATTTGGGAAGAGGGAGAGAGGGGGGTGGGGAGAAAACGCCAGCCTAGTATAGGCAAGTAAGCCAACCTCCCTAGCCCAGGCTCCAGGTAGCTTAGTCTTAACATTTCTTGGTATTCTCCAGCAGTTATGTGCTGAGTAGTCTCAATATAATTTAACCCTGCTTAATTAATGTTAGTTGACTAAACCTGTAAATTAATCAGGAGTCCAGGACTACTTAAATCACTAATCACTCTTTTGAGGGATTTTTGGGTGTCAAGTGTTAGGAGAGAGCAGGGCAAAGAGAGCCTGACTGAGCCTGGAGAATAAGGAAAGTTGGTTCTTAAGGTATACCAAGCCCTTTCCAGTTCTTCTCCCACCTCATCTCATACTTCTGATCTTAGTATATGGTCAGCTCCATAGGGAGAACTTCCACTATCATCTACAAGGACCTCACCTGGTTACTGTCTTATCATCCTGGTTATTTCAGTCAGTGTTTGACTTCTTGGTCTGTAATTACCTTTTTTGCTTGCCTATTCACTTGTCAGTTGACTATCTTTCCTAGTAGAAGATAAGCTTAATGAAGGTCAGGACTAATTTATCCCACTATTTACAATTTCATCCTAGAACAATGAACAATAAATTTAAAAACAAATGAAGTGATGTTCATATTGAGCTCTGACATCTGAATAAGTACATGTTAATCTGATAAAAGAGGTGAGAAGTTTGGGGTGGAAGGAAGTGGATTTTGAGAGGAAAGAGTTTATTGGTTCCTCTTTATCACCCTATAGTCAGCCAGGCATCTGTCCTAACATTTTTCTCTTTTCCTTTATCTACTAGACAGTCTCATCTACAAATCCCACTTAACTTGGTAACTTTCCAATTGGTTTCTTTTAATTTCTCTGAACTCCAGAACTGCATTTCCACTGCCTATCCCACGTTTTCACTAGGATTTCTAATAGGCACCCATGCCTAATGCCACCTACCCTGCTCTAGTACCGGGAGTCAGAACAGAGCCTTGGAGACACAAAGTGTGCCAATCTTTCTTTTTAAGAGGGGGAAATATAGAACTTTATTTAATAGTAGTTAAATTCCACAATGGAAGAGGGACACCATAGGATTGTTTTTCATTCAATAAATATAAATTAATAAAATACTATGTTTTGCAAAGATACTGCTGCTCCTCCTCCACCTCCCATGGACACCCACAGGTGACTG